ATATATATATATATATATATACACACACACACACACACACACACACACACACACACATATATATATATATACACATACATATATATATTAATTATACTTTAAGTTCTGGGGTACATGTGCAGATCTTATAGGACTGTTACATAGGTATACACATGCCACGATGGTTTGCTGCCTCCATCCCCCCCCTTCACTTACATTAGGTATTTCTCCTAATGTTATCCCTCTCCAACCTCCCTACCCCCTGCTATCGCTCCCCTAGCCCCCCACCCCCCAACAGACCCCAGTGTGTGATGTTCCTCTCCCTGTGTCCATGTGTTCTCAATGGTCAACACCCACTTATGAGTGACAACATGCAGTGTCGGGTTTTCTGTTCTTGTGTCAGTTTGCTGAGAATGATGGTTTCCAGATTCATCCATGTCCCTGCAAAGGACATGAACTCATCCTTTTTTACAGCTGCACAATATTCCATGGTGTGCCACATTTTCTTTAGCCAGTCTATCCTTGATGGGCATTTGAGTTGGTTCCAATTCTTTGCTATTGTAAACAGTGCCGCAATGGACATATGTGTGAATGTGAATGTGTCTTTATAACAGAATAGTTTTTGTATTTTTGAAGAGACGTAGTTTTGCTATGTTGGCCATGCTGGTCTCGAACTCCTGACCTCAAGTGATCTAGCAATCTTGGCCTCCCAAAATGCTGGGGTTACAGGCATGAGTCACCAAGCCCAGCCTCATCGGCTTTCTTATAGGACAGACTAAATGGCTCTAGAACCTTGGGCAACTCACATAACCCCAAGGCCTCTGTTTTCTTCATTGTAAGAAGGATAATGATGACAGTCTCCAGGATTACATGAAAGAATTTCTGTTACACATTAAGCATTGTGCTGGCCCCTTAGTAAGCACTCAGTCAACAGTGGCTACGATTACTGTCACTGTGACTGGTGCCTTGCTGGACGGCCCCCAGCAGCAGGGAACAGCCTTTTTCATGTGCTGACTGACAAGACACACTTCTGGCCTCTTGTTCTGGCCCTGCGTGGCATGCGAGCATGAAGGGCTGAGTTAGGCATATCTGTGGGGTGGAAAGGACATGGGATTCGGCTCATGTGGGCCTGGGTCTGCCTTCTGGCTGTGTTTCCTATGAGCAGCATGGCCCTGCACATTAGCCTCCCTCAGCCCAGGCATCTGCTTCACTCAAATAAGGATGATGATTCCCACCTCAGGACTATGGTGAAAATGAAATAAGGAGAGAAATGGCTCCTACTACAGCGTCTAGCATGTAGTAGGCTCTCAACAGGTGCTAATTTCCTGTCTCCTTTCCTTCTTATATAATTCTGCTTAGGAGAGAACCAGGTTGCCTGGGGGTTTTGCTGGAAACAGTGAAAACTCTGCTACTGAAAATAGCATGTAGGAGGGGCCTCTGCGCACATTTAAATGCACATTTTAAATATTGAGGCTGCTTTAAACACATCAGCAAAACCTCTACACCATGGAGGAGAGAGAGATTACCAAAATAGACTAGCCATCTTTAACAAGGAGACCCCCCCAGGCCTTACGCCACCCGAGCCAGAGCTTTTTAGGATTCCTCAAATTAAATTAAATTGATCCTAAAAATATCTTCTCTTGTGGAAGACTACATGGGCTTTGCCACCAAGTGAAGCCTTGCTATAATTTCTCCCCCAAAATAGGAGATTCTAGAGCATTTAAAGAGTCCACAGCCCCAGAACTTCGGCAAGATCCAACACAAACCTGCTGGAGAAAGCTCCTTCTTCATTCTTTTTAATTTCTTGGCCTTTTTCCTTCCCTCTGAGAGGGGCTCTGCACAGGAATTGGTCTGCTCAAGCTCAGCGTCGGAAATCTCCCCCGACACTCCGTCCTCCAGGCCAGCTTCCTCTTGACTAGGACTCAAATTTCTCTTTCCTACTGTGCTGGGAGCTGTAAAACTGAAATGCAAAAAGTGGAACAACATGAAAGGTGCCGCGAGTTACAGGAAGACTAGTCTATAAAAATATTTTAATACTCTTAATTCTATTAACACTTAGCCAGCCATCAACAACATGGGCAGCTGCTGCCTGTGTGTAAAAAGTAAAGACCTTGTTATGAACTGAAGTCTGAAAGTTTACCTATAACACGCTTATTCAGAAAAAAGTCCTAAATTATGCTTGTAAATACATACAAATCTAAGCTGTTCCGAGTGCTCAAGAACACATTTGTAAAGTTCCTAGTCTCTATTGTGAAAAAACTATTGCAACAGAATAGAATAGCAGAGATACTATAACAAAACAATAGTTTTGATTACATTAAGTCAGAAGATAGCATTATTCCCTTCAATGACTGCCTAATGGATAAACAGCAGAAATGCAGAATTCTTGAATCGGTCTGCTATCCCACGGCTTAAAACTTGGATATAGTTACAGGGCATACCCCACCTTCATGTAATCCTCTTCTTTTCCAAAAAGATGACTTGTTAAATGTATAATTAAATCTGGTTTCATTTTGAAAGCTTTATAGGATTTGACATATTGAATTAAATCAGATTATGTGTCCTGATTTTTCCTTAGGAAAATATTATCTGAAATATAACTAGATAAAAACAGCGTCCACATAACACATAAACACTGAGTCCTTTCTCCTCTAAATGGGTCTTAGAGATTTTTTCATTATAGCCCCCAAGTTATGAAAAGCCTAAAATAAATTCAAGGCATTCTATTTAGGAGAGGCCATTCAAGCACGTGGGGAGGGTGGGGAGTGAGAGCGATGAACTGATCCTACCAGCCTTTCCTAGGAGGTGGGTACTTTTAAATTTTATTTATTTATTTTTGAGACAGTCTTGTTCTGTCACCTAGGCTGTAGAGCAGTGGTGCAATCTTGGCTCACTATAGCCTCTGCCTCCTGGGTTCAAGCAATTCTCCTGCCTCAGCCTCCCAAATAGCTGGGATTACAAACACCTGCCATCACGCCCAGCTAATTTTTGTATTTTTAGTAGAGATGAGGTTTCACCATGTTGGCCAAGCTAGTCTTGAATGCTGGACCTCAAGTGATCTGCCAGCCTCAGCTTCCCAAAGTGCTGGGATTGCAGGCGTGAGCCACCATGCCCAGCTAGGACGCGACTATTTTAAAACGTTCTATATAAAAAACGCTGGCTACCCAAATATTCAAGTTCCTCCACATCACTCCTGCACTGAACATCTTCCCTGAATCTGCCAACTGCACTTGATGGTACACTCAGAGGATGGAGGAGGAGAACACACCGCCTTCCTGGTGCATCTCTAAGGCATGCGAAGCAGAAGAGGCTGGAGCACACTTCCTCTTACTACTGGGCTGGCCAGCCTTTCATTTGTCCTCTTTTTCATGTCTTTTAATTGAGGGACTCTGAAAAAAAACAAAAGGGATGATATCAATGGTAATGTTTTGGGGGGGGGGGAACGGTTAAAAATTTATGCTAAAGTTTACTGTTTAAAAACCGATAACACCTTTAAAAAGATTTTTTAAAGACTAAAAAAATTTTACTGATTTCAGAAAATTTAGAAAATTCAGAAAGTATAAGATAGTAAGGGTTCTTCCATCATGAAAAGGGAAGAGGCCTAAAAATTCCTTTGCACTGTAAATTCAGGAACCTGGTAGCCTCTGAGACATAAATATTTAATGAAAACTCAGCTAGAACCACAGGCATTAAAAATATTTTGTGAAGGGGGTCCTGCAGCAGGTCCTTCCAGGGTGTGACATTCAGCCGGCCTTCCAGGGTGACGGACTTTCCACCCAAGAACCATGGCCCAATTTATCCATAACCTTGTGGAGAAGACCCTGGCGCTGGCGAACACTGTTGTGACTTATTCATAGCCTCTACTGGCCACATTTTAGTACTACGCCAAGGTTGAACTGATTCCTCTTACCCCTGCTGAGATCCCTAGAGCTTTTCAGAGCCTGAAAAACAGTCAGTAATGCCCAGACTGGTAGCTTCAAACAACTCACAGTTAAGGAAGCTGTGCTGGACCGTTTGGTGAGGTGCTTGATGTGGTTTTATGTCGAGGAGATCATAGGCAAGTGTGGCATCATTGGCTATAATGTTTGAAGAGTAATCTTTAACATCTGATTATATGTGATTTATTATTTGAGCATTGTTGGACCATGTACGATCAGACCGCTATCTGAATAAAATAAGACTTGTAAAAAAAAATACTTTGTGAAATACAAAGTCTAGAAATAGCCCCAAATGTATGTAGAAATCTACTGTATGATAATGGTGGTATGTCTAAATACTGGGGCAAAGACAGACTTTAAAAAAATAGTGTTGGGACAAGCAGAAAATGATAAAATTAGAACCAGTCTTCATACCATATAAAAGAATAAATACCAAAGGCATTAGCTTTCTAAATGCAAAAGAGGCAACTTCACAGGTACTAAAAGAAAACACGAGTGAATGCTTCCAAATCTAGGTGTAGAAAAAGGTTTTCTTGCCATGTCTTACAATCCAGACATAATAAAGGATTTGTTAATGTGACTTCATAAATGTAAACATGTTTTATAGGGCAATAAATAACGTGAGCAAAGACAAATGACAAACCAGGAGGAAATATCTGCAACATGTATCGCAGATAAAGGGTTAATGCCCCTAACAAATAATAACTCAAACATGAAGAGAAAAAGAAAGACCAAAAGTCCTATAGAAAACTGAAAAAGCTATGAATAAACAGCTCATTACACACACTCCTTAAACACATGAAAAGGTGCTCAACTCCATTCATAATGCAAAATGAAACAACGAAATATCACTTCTCACCCACTAGGTTTTTAGACTGGCAAAAACCTTCAAAAGCTTGATAATATACTCCATTGTAGATTGGGGGAAAGGGTCCTTTCATACATTGCTGGTAAGAATGCAAAATGGTACAACTTACTCTTATGGAGGGAGTGTGGCAATATCTAACAAAACTACATACATTTCCAGGAATTTAGAAGATATACCTCCTACAAGGCAAATATATATGTACAAGTTATTCAATATAGCATTATTTAGAATTGCAAAATACTGCAAAGTACCTAAATGTCTAAGCATAGAAAACGCGTTGAATACACAACAGTACGTACAATCAATGAACTACTAAGCAGTTACAAAAAAGAATGAAGATCTCAAAGAACTGAAAATGATTATGGAATGATTTCCAGCAAAATATGTGTAAAAAGCCAAGTGCAAAAGAACAACTTATGAACCTGATATTCCCATTCTTGAGTAGGGCGTGGGAGAGAATGGTAAACAAATCCTGAATCCTTTAGTAGGTTTGCTTCTGTAGTAGAATGAGTGAAGCAATTCTGAAAACACTTAGCTGCATGATGGCACTGAATAAATCAGTAAATATGTTGATGTTTCTGGAAGACAGACATAAAAATTTTGGAATAAGGGAAGATAAAAAAGAACCCTGGAGGGATAGACTGAAATTGGAGGTAAGGATTTGGGCTTGTGATTTCTAAAATAAGTATGTGTATATGTGTTCACATTTATGTATACACACACATATATGCACGCATATTTATGCAGGGATAGGTAACCCTATCTATCCAGGCACAAAATTCCCAGCTCTGTCTACAGAAAGGACCTAGAAGTAGAGACACACCAGTAACAATGAGCATATCTGCTTTCTAGATTTTAGTTTCTAATACCTCACTAAAAGGAACCAGGGCTCCTGAATAAGTGGTTAATTCCAGGGTCAAGGGAGATAAATTATAAAATGAGTCTAAAATATTTTGCAAAGCCAAAAAGTAAAAAATGTTTAGGCATGTCACAGGGAACTAGGAACTAGCTTGAAAGGAAAGGACTGACTCCCACTGGCCAAATCTGGGACAAAGTGTGCCCTCTAATTTATTAGAAAACAGTAATAAATTCTGCATCATTGAAAAAAAATAGGAATCCATGATTCTACATCAATACGTAAGGGAAGGGAAAGAAAGACTACGACTCTCCACTATAAACCTAAATTTAAACTGCTTGGCACAGCATCCAGGATCCTCTGTCATCTGGGCCCAATCTGCTTTCCTGGTCTATCTTTCACTAGGCGGCCAAGCAGCAGAGACTATCTAGGTTTACCTAACGAAGCCCATCGTCCGTACTTTCCCACATGCCTGACATCCCACCAGAAGCTTAACAGCCCAAATATATACCACGCTTCCCATTTCAATGTCACCATTCATGCTAAGACCCTACTGCTCATCTCTTCCTGCTCAACATGACTCTCCTCTGGGAATGTTCCCAAGCCCTATTTAGTGTTCTTTCCTTTCCATGCTTCCGAAACACCCTGCTTGGCTATCTCAAGAGGACTTTAACTCATTCACCTTGCTTTGTATAATAAACTGAAACTTGGAGCAGTGCATCAACAGGAGAATGGATAAACAAACTGGGCTATATTCATACAATGAAATATAATTCAGCAATAAAAAATGAATTACTATTACCTCCAACAACATGGATGAATCTCACTCTAAGTGAATGAAGCCTTCACAGGAAAGAGTGGGTATTTTATAAACACATTTATATAAAATTCCAGAAAAGTCTAAACTAATCTTCGGAGAAAAATATTCAGAAGAATGGTGGGTGTGGGAAGGTAGGCAGGGACTGACTGATGGAACGTGAGGGAACTTTCTGGGGTGGTATTAATGCCCTGTGTCCTTATAGGAGTATGGTTTCATCAAAACTCTTATCTTGGCTGGGTATGGTGGCTCAAACTGGTAATCCTAACACTTAGGGAGGCCAAGGCAGGAAGAATGCTTGAGCCCAAGAGTTCAAGACTAGCCTGGGCAATGTGCCAAAACTCTGTCTCAAAACAAAACAAAAACAAATTATCTGGGCACAGTGATGGCATGCCTGTATTCCTAACTATTTGGGAGGCTAAAATAGGATTGCTTGAGTCTGGGAGGTGGAGGTGGCAGTGAGCTGTGATCGTCCCAATGC